ACTGGAACCCTTCATTTCAACCCCACATCGTGCTTAGATGTGTCGACAAGGTAACGGCCTAGGCTCTCCCATGTGCTGCACAATCCTGGGCTGGGAATCACCCTGCCTGCCTGGAGCCCATCTACACTCTGCTCACAACAAGATTTCCTCGTGCCTCAACTTGTCTGCTTGTGGGACAGCGGTCCCACTAAGACAGCTGGCACCCTGCAGGCCAGCACCCAGTTCCCTGGGCTCCTCACCTGACCTCCCATCACTTCTTTCCTCATAGCCTTGCTTCTCAGGTAGTACGGCAGGGGATTGGGCCACAGGTCCTCGCTGATGACCTGTTAGCCAGCAAAAACAGACAGGGCTCAGATCCCAGTGCCAAGCAGCTGGAGAATCCACCAAAGGCATGCAGTGGGCGATGTAGGAAGGTGGGGTGCGTGTGCTGTTCTTGACCCACCTCTGCAATCCGGCCAGACCCGGCAAAGCTGTGGACTGACAGCCAGTTGAAGAAGTTAAGGCCACCGTTCTGGTGCCTGAGCCTGTGGGCCTTACACTCATAATGATGCGTCCACCGAACTGGGGTAGAGTCATACGCCCTGTATCCTGCAGCAAGAGAAGTGTGTCAGAAGGGGCTGGACCACATCTCAGGGGCACAACACGACCTCCTGCCACCCACCCTGACAGCTGCCACTTACTGGTGACACCGACGACGTACTCCTTAACAATCTGTTCATTGTAGAAGTAGGGGTTTTTGTCGAAGAATAGCACGATCTTGCAGCAATCACCCAGGCGCCTGGATTCCTTCACCTGTTGGGACAAGGTGTGGGGAGGGTTTGCGAGGACCACCTTCTCCTCTTTTCGGAGATGCATGGCCTCCCACCCCCCAGCCTGCGTCTCACCAGCTTCACCTCACCTCCAGGTTGCTCATGAAGCCAAGTATGGCTTTGTCCCAGTGTCCCATCAGGGGTGACAAGTGGGGATGATTCTGAATCTGCTGAAAGTCAAGGAGCGTTCCCATGATAGGCATGGCGGGGCTAGAACAATGCAAGTCTGCAGAGAAGCCAGTTGGGGCCTGACCTCCTTCTCCTACAAGCCAGGTGCTGTTCTTGGGCACACACCGCTTTAAGGAAACCCCGAGCACTAACCCAGGAATGGTCCAGCGTGTGCATGCTGCGGGGTCGGTGGTTGTACAGGACGCGAACCCCTTTCTGCCATGGAGGTGCTGAGGTATGGACAGAGGAGGCTTCTCTCTGCACATCACACATTGCTGGCAACCCCACCGACCCTCTGAGCCCTCCCGAAACCTGTTGTGCACAGCCCTAGCATTGGGGGAGCTGGGGCACCGCTGAACTGTGTTGCCAGAAGGACCCCGTGAACAACTCAGAGTGGCCATGGGGACCTTGCTCCTTGCCCGTACCGCGCAATGGCCTTCCAGGGCTCCCTATCAGGTCACACATGCACCTACAATTTCATGGTCGTGGCCTCAACCGCGGGCATTTGGATCACTGGGTGTGCCCTGCCTCAGCCTCCCCTGGCACTGGCCTGGCCACACTGCGCTCCCTCCACTACCGCATCGAGGATACGGCCTTAGCCCAGAAGGCAGGGATGCTCCGGATAATGGTGCTCCTCACTTCTAACTGGGACTTGCGCCTCTGACACATCTTGAGCCTGAGCCGACGGAAGGCCCTGGCGGCCTGCTCATTCTGCACCTCCAGCTCTAACTGAAGGGTCCGCAGCGCGTCCAGTGGGGCCACGGCCGGCATCAGCACCAGGGCAGGCCCTGGCCCTTCATGCTTCGGCTCCTCCTCCGGCCTGTCCTCCTCCTGCTCCCCAGGCTGCCACTGCTGCCGCCCCTGGCCCGGCCCTTCCTCGAGCTGCCCCTCGTCCTGCTCTGGATCCTCCTCCGTCTGCACATATGCCAAGCCTCCCTCAGCCTCGCCCTGCTGCCCATCCTCCCTGAACTCCTGGTCCCTGTCCCCCTCATTGTCCAAGGGCACCAGCTCCACGTCCAGATACACTGCCTCACCTTCCTGCTCCCTGTCGTCCACCGCGACCTCCAGCACAATTACGTCTCCCATCACCGCTTCTTCCTCCACCACCAGCACGTCTCCCACCACCTCCTCTGCCGCCATTAGGTCTCCCGCCTCCACGTGTACCTCCCCCGCCACGTCTCCCACCACCTCCACGGCGTCCCCCACCACCCCAGCCACGTCCCCCACAACCGCCACCACGTCTCCCACCACCTCCTCTGCCA